TAGTGCCCAGGGATGTGCAGGTTAGGGTGGATTGGCCGTGCTAAATTGCCCCCATAGTGCCCAGGGATGTGCAGGTTAGGGTGGAATTGGCCGTGCTAAATTGCCCCACAGTGTTCAGGGATGAGTAGCTTAGGTGCGTTATAGGGGGATGGGTCTGGGTGGGATGCTCTTAGGGTTGGTGTGGACTTGTTGGGCCGAAGGGCCTGTTTCCACACTGTTGGGATTCAATTCTTTGAGTGGCAGCCTTATGGAGGTTTATTAAATCATGAGGGGTGTTGAAAGGTGAATGGCAGGCGTCTTTTCCCTAGGGTGGGGGAGTACAAGACTGGGGGGGGATATTTTTAAGGTGAGAGGAGAAAGATTTAAAAAAGTCATGAGAGGCAACTTTTTTACACAGGGGGTGGTTCGTGTGTGGAATGAACTTCCAGAGGAAGTGGTGGATGTGGGTACAGTTTAAAAGACATTTGGATAAGGACATGGATAGGGAAAGGTTTGGAGGGATATGGGCCTAGAGCAGGCAGGTGGGACTGGTTTAGTTTGGGGATTATGGTCGGCACGGACTGGATGGAACGAAGGATCTGTCTCCGTGCCGTTTGAGTCTACGATTCTATCCAACTCAGCACTCCGTTCCTCTTAGCTTCCTTCACCATCAATAAGCATTGCCAGCATTGTGGGCCGTATTATGAGATACAATTCAGTTAACTTACGAAGCCTGGTTTGACTGCATCTTTCAAACTGATGACCTGGGAGGACAAGGGCAGCAAACACATGTCCACACCATCACTTTACAAGGTCCCCCTCCAATCCACGCACCATCCAGACTTGATCCTGTATTGCCATCCCTACTGAGGTCAAAGTCCTGGAGTCCCCTTGCTAACAAGCAGCGTTGGTTTTACACCCCAACCTAAGGCGTTGTTGACAGATCAAGTAAGTCAAACAGCGGCAGAGAAAGTGCGCGGTTTATTCTTCGGATCCGGGAAAGATAAAGCGGAAAGAGTATTCTCCCACTTTTCCAAAACGTGCGGATGCGGAAAAGCATAGGGATTTATGTGTCCGCTGTTGGTCAGGTTCGGAGTATGCGTAAGATCCTGCAGACTCACTGCACTAGGACGAGAGAGATGAATTTACTCAGAAACCTCGCTGTCTCTCAGGGAAAGGGTTACATACACGAGCCAACAGACAGTGGAGCAGGTTGCAAATTTATTCGCCCAAAGGTGAGAATTAAACTTTACACATTTAACAATTACTGGATTCTTTAGAAACTTAAGTACTTTCCAGATACTTGTAGCTTTTGCTGGTTAGTTGAATATTTTTGGTCCGTTGCTTTCTGTGGTGATAGGAATGAGGTTGGCTGCCTGGATCACATTGAGTATGAGATCTCTGATTGGGGCTGTTAGCCGGGCCAATCAGGGAGCCCTGGCTGACAGATATAGAAACAGGAGTCACGGGGATTCTCCTCACTCGAGGGCCTGGCTCTGAGTTAACTGGTCAGAGTCCACATACTGTGTACGTGTATATAACGGGTGGTTTGGTGATGGGATACCGGTCTCTATGCCGTTATATCACTTTTACTCTCTCTCTCTCGCTCTCTCATTCTCTCTATCTATCTTTATCTATCTATCCTTATCTCCCTCTCTTTCTCTATCTGACTATCTATCTATCCTATCTATCTATCTAATCTATCTATCTATCTATCTATCTATCTATCTATCTATCTATCTATCCTATCTATCTTATCTTTCTTTCTTTTTATCTATCTATCTATCCTATCTTTCTTTCTATCTATCTATCCTATCTTTCTATCTATCTATCTGTCTATCTATCTATCTATCTGTCTATCTATCTATCCTTATCTCCCTCTCTATCTCTATCTATCTACCTGTCTATCTATCCATCTATCTATCTATCCTATCTATCCTATCTTTCTTTCTATCTATCTATCTATCTATTTATCCTATCTTTCTTTCTATCTATCTATCTATCTATCTATCTATCCTATCTTTCTTTCTATCTATCTAACCATCTATCTATCCTATCTTTCTTTCTATTTATCTATCTATCTATCTATCTACGTATCTATCTATCTATCTATCCTTATCTCCCTCTCTATTTCTATCTAT